TCCCTGGCCAGATGGGAAAAAGCATTGAAATTGGCTCAACTTTGGTCACATATCCATGTCCAGGCCAATCAAGTGAGACTAGAAAAGTGGAGTCCTCTGCAAACATGGCAGAATCTGCAGGAGTCTAAGGGAGGAAGCAAGAACAGAAACTTCTAGAGGAGGGAGGATGTTTAGGAGAAGGGGGCTATCCCAGGTAAAGTGGGCAGGCACTCGTTCATGACAGTCATCTGTTATAGTCCAGAAGTTGAATCAGAGAAAAGATTTCTAGGTCACTTGCAAAATTCACCCCCCTTTCAGCATCGCTGTCCATTCGGTATCTGATAACTGAATTATCTGACTATATGAAAAACTGCCCTGAAGCTAGAGTCAAGAAAACTAAGTTTAAAACTGAATTCTGCCACTTACTAACATAGGCAAGTCACTTGACCTATCTACCTTGACTTTCTCATCTGTTAAATGGGTTCAGTACCTGCTCCTCACAGGTTTAAATGGACTGTGCAAGTGAACATCACCAGCACCATGTTGGTAGGTGCTTCATCAGAGTTTGTGAAAGGCCTTAATCCAAACATCAGCTCCAGGTCAGCCAAGCGGATCACAAAGCTCCTAGCGCACAGCTTCGTTCCTCACAGCCATGTGTGTCAGCCCAACAAGGATAGCTAGAAAATGTCTGCTCATTTTATCTTGCACACGCTCCTTCCTCTATAAGTTTCTCTTCTCCTTAATCCCACCACTAGACTCCTGCAGATGCGGCCAAGTTTTTAGAGGACCTCACTTCTGGGGTTGATTGCTTGGTGCATGGGAATGGAAGGTAAGCATGATCTGGCTTCTCCTACACAATGGACCAATGTGTGCACCTGGAGAGGTTCCTTTTCCCTGCAGTGGCCAGGCTGCTCCAAACAGGAGCGCTTCCTCCTGCTCATGTTCTGCTAGGCTTGGCCAGAAATGCCCTTCCGTGCATCTTCCCCCATGTCAAAATAGTCCTGTGTAGCTCTCCTGTCCAGCAACAACAACGGCTCCCACTGCTACCAACTCTACCTGGACCTCAAGCCCTCTGAAGTCAGGGACCAGACTTGGCCCTCAGCTCCTTCTCCCACAGCTCCTCAACACCTTGCTCCTTGACATGTACCCTCCTCTCCCCTCCACCTACCCCATCCTGCCCGTTCTTTGGGACCTTGATCAGCCCTCTACCTCTCAGGGAAGCTGACCTCTGTACACTCTTGCTGACTTCTGATCCCCTCCCCTCTTGCAGCCTTAACTCTGTACACAGAGTGATGCTGGCTATATTCCTTACCGGAGTTTTCATGCGTGGTCACCAGGACACCTGCTCTCCTGAAACTTAAAAGCAAGTTGGGAAGATAGTAGGATCTGACCTCAGCATAGCCTCTTTGAGAGGTTAGATAGCACGAACACAGGTTAGCAGGCAAAATTTGGGAAGATAAGAAAATACTATTTGGAAAACAGGTGCCAGATACAGAGATTTGCCTTTAGGAATGGCAGATACATGGCACACGTGCTGCTAAAGCCTCCTGTATTATCCATGGCAGACATCACTAACTGATTACAGCACTCTTTCCAGTGAACCTGGACCTAGACTCAGAATCTACAGCCTAGCACTCCAAGCAGGCATAACCAATCAGTTGGAGTCGGCGAATGAAGTAAAATCCATTTTCCAATTGTGGTATAATACAAAGTACATATTTGGTTTTTGAGCTTCAAAAACCCATAGAATTTCTTGAGTGATAGGAGTGTCTTTTATTATTCATAATGGGGCTTTTGGTTATACCTAACTTTGTGAGGTGATTCAAGGTGGGACCTTAGATAGTTTCAAGAGAGGGGCTGGCCACACCAGAAACACTAAGCAAGTGATTAGAGAGCTAGAACTTTCACCACCCCCACCAACCCCTGGGGAGAGAGGGTACAGCTGGAAATTGAATTCAGTCTCATGGCCAATGATTTCATCAATCATGCCTACTAATGAAGCCCCAGATAGAAACTCTGAAACAAGGTTTGGGTAACTTCCATGCTGCTGGTAGAGTGACACACCCACATTCCACTGGGAGAGAGTATGGAAGCTCTGCAGCACTCTATTTGTGAAATGTATACACATAAAATACAAGAGAATGCAATATTTTCCTGAGGCTTGGAAATTAAACAGTTGAAACTTAAGGGGAATCTGGGAGGTATAATGTGGTTTTGGAGAACATTTCCTGATGCGGGGGTCAAGATCGTCAAACTTTTTCTGTAAAGGGCAAGATAGTCAATATTTTAGGCTTCACGGGCCCCTCACTCCCAAGACCTTGCCTGGTGAATCTGTTCATTTGTATCATTTGTAATAAAACAATAGTCATAAGGATAGCACTTTCCTGAGTTCTGTGAATCATTCTAGCAAATATTCAAGCCTGGAATGGGGATAGGGGAACCTGGAAAATTGTAGTTGGCCAGGCAGAAGTGCATATGAAATAGAGGTTGAGCCCTTAACTTGCAGGATCTGCCTTGGGAAGTTTGTATCAGAATTGAATGAATTGTAGGACACCTAGTTAGTGTCATACACTGCTCTCAGATGTGTCTATTAAGAAACCTATAAAAACAAAGTAGGGTACCCACACAGACCTGGAGCAGGGACCAGTACCTATGGCCAAACCCAGCCCACCACCTGTTTTTCTAAATAAAGTTTTATTGGAACACAGCCACACCCATTCCTTTACATGTTATCTAAGGCTGTTTCTAACTACAAAAGCAGAGTTGAGTGATTGCAACAGAGAGTGTATGGCCTAAACTATTTACTGTCTTGCCTTTTACAGAGAAATTTTGAGGACCCTGTTCAAGAGCACCAGAAGATGTTATCCAAAACAACATTATAACCTCCAAATCCCTTTCCAGTCTCATGTTTTATTTTGAAGCTTCAGGTGAATGTTGCATTCTCTTCTATTTTATGTGTATACATTTCCCATAAAAGCAATGTTTAAACTACTTACTGCTTGTTAAGTAACAAATTCTGTTTGCTTAGTGAGTGGGAGTCATTCTTCATTTCCCTAAAAGCTTGCAATTTCAGGATGGGATATACAGTACTGGTGTGAGACTGGGACTGAGCGGTGAGGGTTCTTCCAGAAAAAACATTTAGGAATAACAAGGAGATTCAAACTCTAGGTTGAAGCACTGATTCAGATATTCATTCTAAGACTTGCTTTTACACTATAAAAATGAACAGTTGCTAAGGGCTTCTCAAGTTCTGCCCATCTTGTCTCCAAGATGATGGTTTCAGCAAGGTATCTGCTGGTGTGTTCAATGGGTGGCTGGGATCTTGTCACTTATTTGTTCTCAAGGAAAACCATTTGCAAACTGTGTTCTGTGGGGCCCTAGAGTTCCCACAAATGTTGAAGAACTACTGGGGTAGAATGTGGGGTCCAAGTGAGTGGGATTCCAAGTCCATGCCAACCTTAACCATGATATTCCCAATAGATGTTCTCTATTGCCCATCTCATCTGTTTGAGAAAAGGCATCTGCTGATAAAATAAGATTTGAACATCACAGGTCTAAATAGTTCACTCAAGTTCAAACACAAACAGGTATGGAAACAGACAGGTAACATAAGTGAATAAGTCTGGCAAGGCATGGGATGATAGGGAGTGGTAGGACCTGTGGCAAACTGTCTTAAAAGAGCAGGTGCCCCTGAGATCTAGCCATACAGAACTACAAATTTAATGTGTCCAAGTCTTCCAATTTCTCAGTAAATCTGGAAATGTAAGTGTCTATTTCCCAATTATTAAGACATGTGCAGGTCAAACAGATTCCTACCTACAAACCAGAGGCAGCTGGTAGACAGAATGCAACTGCTGGCTTGGACATTGCCTTTAAGAAAACCAGCCAGGAAGGGCTGCTATTTCCTTGAATTCACTTAGTAGGCCAACATAGAACAGCAGAAAAACCCACAAAAAAGACAAGCATCCTATCCTGGCACTAGCCCTTGCTAACCGTGTGGACCTGGATAAGGCCCTGAACCCTTAGCAGGTACCTGCCCAAATGTGGTGATCATAGCAAATCCCAGGCAAGTGGCAGGGAAGGAAGAGAACACACTGTGGGTGATGGCATCCCTGGCCCAAGAGGCACCAGGTGGGCACATATGAAAGGTGTTCTCTACTGGCGACAGGAGGAGTGCCCAGGGTGAGTGGTACATGGGGCATGGGTGGATCCTGATCAGCCCTAGGGATGTGGCTGGCCCAGAAAGCTTGAGCCCCCACTACTAAGGGAGATGAAAAATGACCACCTTCCATCTCCACTCTCTGTGCACAGATGAGGAGCGAGAGAGGAGCGGGCGCCTGGGCCCGCGGCTGTCGAGCGGGATCATTAATAAGATAGATGCTCCTAATGGCTCCAAGAAGGATCATGGAGCTACTCATTATCAGGGGTTGAAATCGCTAATTATTCGTTTCTCTGCAGCTGTCACTCGCCGCGCCCACCCAAAACACCGGTCCCAGCAGCGGTCCTTTCTCTCATGGCCAACAGGGGGCCGCAAGCATGCATGGCCGGGCCTCAGGGCTGAGGGCAAAGTCTCCATCGTGCATTAAATACTTATTAAACTTGATTAGAACTCAATGCACCATAAAATCTCTTTCAAGTCGGTGAAACGCCTTTGGCTACAGATTTTTTTTTCCCCCAATTCTATCCAAAAGGAACTCCCAAGCACTCAGAGAGTATTGGAGAAATTAGATGATGGTTGAGGCGGGGGAGTGTGGCACCGGATTGGGAATGGGGGAGGTGGATTTGGAATATTTATGGGAGAAGACAGCAACGCCTGGAATGAGGGGCATCAGGAACGAAAAAGGGAGTGTGGATTCAGGCGGGTGGGAAGGCTGCCGGATGCACATATTTTTAGGAACGATATTACCCTGGACCTAAAAATATGAGACATGGCTTTCTTTAAAAGCGATCTAAGTCCTATTTACATTTCAGAGCAAACAGCATATTGTTTTCATCAGGGGGAAATAAGCACTCATGTTTACCTTATGTTTCCTTCAAAATATTTGCATTTCAAAGCCTTCTGAGCTTTAAGTTTCAGAGCTGTTCAAAATGTGGCACCTGGGCTTCTCCCAGATGGGCCATGTTTACAGCCGAAATCCACACTACCCAGCCAGGATGACACCCCAATAAGGGACAAGGGCCCCTTTCAGGGGCATAATGCATCCCCCAAGGGCACAGCAGCTGGGACCAAAGCTGGTGGCCAAATGAGCGATGGGAGAGCCAGACAGCCCAATTCTCAAAACCTCTCTATGAGGTTCTGTGAGTCTTCCTCTTGCCATGTTCTTTTATCCTCTCTGTGGATGAAGGAGGAGAAGGGCTGGTCTGCACAGAGCCTTTGGGGGCCTGTTGGGAGAAGGAGGAAACAGGCAGTGCTGGAACCCGCAGGAGATGTTCCAACAGAGGCAACAACCAAGTGGGCAGGGTAGCAATCCCAGTGCCAGAGGGTTGGACTAAATAACTTCAGCTCCCTCTTCCTGTCCCCAAAGTTTCATTCATTCATTCAACAAACAGTTATTGAGGGCCCACTCTGGGCCAGGATTTGGGCTCACGACTGGGGCCACAGTGATGAACCAAACCAATCAGGGCTCACCTTTACTGGTTGCTTCCTCTCTGCTAGCCACTGTTCTTGGCTGCACGTGGCAGCCATCTAGCAAACTTTTAAAAATCCCAAAGCCCAAGCCACACCCCAGACCAGTTAGATTCCAGTGTCTGTATCTGACACAAGCCTTGCTGTTTTTTACTTTCTCCAGTGCCCAGGACCAACCCACTGCACCCCCCTTTCTAGAGGTTCCCTGTGGACCTTGGTAGAGGGACAGCTGCTGGTCAACTTGACCAAAAGCACCAAATTCCCAGGGAACCAGCCTGAGAAAGTCCAGGGTAAATTTCAGGGTCCAGGCACCATTAAATTTTCAAACTCCCCACATGATTTTAGCCTGCAGCCAATTTTGAGAACTGGCATTCTGTGCTTCACATATATGAACCCACTTACTCCTCAAACAACCTTCTGAGGTAGGTGAGAATGCTTGCCTCTCCCCCTTAAATGATGAAGTGCAGGAACATTAACTCAGCCACAAGCAGCAGAGCTGGGATTTGAATTCCGGCAGTCAGGCTCCGAAGGGTGCACTCTTAAGAGCTCTGCAGTGGTGTCCCTGGTGCCAGCTACTGTGCTTAGGGAACTGTCGCTCCAGAGAGAGGCCAATGAACAGACACTACACAGAGGGATAATGTCAAGGCATTGCTGCCTTTCCAGCCACCAGCCATTCCCAACCCTGGTCTTTGCCTGACTCATCCAGAGACTAACTGTCCCTGCCTCCCTTGCAGCTATGGTTCTGGCCAACAAGATGCAGTGGGAAGCCTGCTTGGAGCTTTTGGAGAGAGTTTTGCTCCAAGGTTAAAGGACAGGGGTATGAGAAGGAACATTTTCCAACCCATGCTCATCCTTCCACCTGAGATGTTTCCATGTGAGAATGTGATATTTGCAGCTGCAGAGGCCATGCTGTGACCACAAGGAAAACGCTGAGAGAATCATAGTCACTGATCAGACTGTCCAACCATTCCGGAACAGGCCCCCTCCAGATGTCTTGTTAAAAGAGAGATCTAAAATGTCTTCCTTACTTTCAGATATTCAATTACTTGCCCCTGCGTCAGTTAGAATTAGATTTGACTGTGATTAATAGAAAACCCCCAAATAACAGTGGTTTTTGCAAGATAGAGGCTTATTTCTCTTTCATATATAAGAAGTCTGAAGATAAGCAGCTCAGAATGACAGGGGCAGCTTTAAAGTCATCAGAGAGTCAAGCATCTTTTCTCTCACTGCCCTGCCATTCTTAGCATGTGGCTTCCACTCACAAAAAGGGTTGCCCAGGCTCCAGGTATCACATTTGCTTTCCAGCTAGCAGGGAGGAGGAGAGGTGGAAGAAGTATCCCCTCTCCTTTTAAGAACACCTCCCAGAAACTCTTCTGTCTATATCCCATTGACTAGAATTTAGCGACATGACCACATCTGGCTGTAAGGGAGGCTGGGAGCCACATTTGTCCTGGGAAGCCATAAACCTAACCAAAAAGGGGGATTCCATAGATAAGAAAGTAGGATATTTGAGAAAATAAACTGTCTCTTTCATACAATTAAGGCCATCCTAATTAAGAAAGATAATGTCTCTGATGAAGAAGGGATAGGAGTTAGCCAAGACAAAAGAAGGGAGAACAGTGTCCCAGGAGCAACAATTCAGACACAGGCCTAGGAGCAAGACAAAGTGAAATATTTGGAGAACTGAAGAAATCCTGTGACTAGATGACAAAGCAAGGTTGGTGGGCGATGAGGTGGGAGAGCATCAAGAGAGCAAGATTTGCAGGGCCCTTACATAACACCGCCCTAAGGAACTTGGACTTGGAGACCCACTGGAAGGTGTTTGGCAGGAAAGCAATATGGCCAGGGTTGCATAGAAAACACACTCTGGTTGCAGGGTGGAGGATGCTTTGGATTGGAAGACGATAAGATTGGAGGCAGAGAGACCCAGTGGGAAGCTCCTGGAGGCCCCTAGAGAGGTAATGTTGGCCTGGGCAGCACAGAGGCAGATCCCATCTCCACTGGGAGGCAGGCGAGAGGTGGTGGAGAGCAGTGTTATTCAGAGGGCTTGTCTGCAGTGGCATTCGAAGCTTGCACTAGAACCTGAATCCGTGCATTGCTGCCTTCATCGAGTGTCTTATAATACAAATTATAGGCATGTGTGGGTGCACATATAAGCTGAATTAAGTATGTGTTTAGTGTTGTATTTGCTTTATGCTCTGATGCAACCTCCTTACTCCTTCGTGGACCACTAACAGTTTGTGAACCAGCAACACAGATCTGTGAACCACACTTGGAACATCACTGGTCTCAAGGAGAGAAAACTGAATTCCTCGTGTAAAGCTGCCCTTCTGTATCTGACACAGGCCTTGCTATTCCTTACTTTCTCTAGTGCCCCGAACCACCCCACGGCACCTCTCCAGAAGTTCTCTGTGGCTCTTGGTGGAAAGACAACTGCTGATCAACTTGTCTAAGAGCCAAATTCCCAGATAACCAGTCTGCGAAAGGAGGCTGGCCTGAGGGTTCCTCACCACCCGCAGGGAGCCCCAGCGGCCTACAAAGCCCTCCCTAGCCAAGCTTTTCCAGGAACAATGCGATTGCCTTAGGGAAGGCAGAGGGAGAAAATGGTCCTCAAACTCACTCCCTGGAGAGAGGCCAATGCAAACTGTGGGATTAACTCCTGGGGGGGCGTCTCAATTCTGAGGCCATTCTAATAGGAAAGAATGAAGGGGCCCCAGTCAGTTCTCCTGAAAGCAAGAGCTGCCCTCAGCCCAGTGAAAAGGGCTGGAGACCCTCAGGGGCTCCCCAGCCTCCAGGACCAGGCTACATTGAGCACTCCCTCCCCACCTGTGCTGAGACTTCAATGTTGGGCTATCCCCTCTCTCCCAGCTCCTTGGAGGCAGTGGCTGTGCAAGTGTTTCCGCGTCTGCACAACCTTCTCATGCCACCATGGCCAATGAGCACCGATGGCTCGTATGTGCCGAGCACTCATCAAACTGCTTCGCATGTATTAGCTCATTTAGTGCTGACCCTCAATACATGCATGTCACATCAATTCAGCAAGTAATCTGAATGCATCAGTACTTGGAGGTGTTGGCCTGGTCACTCAGCAGCTTGGTCCAACATCCCTCTGGCAAAGGCCAACATGCAAGAGCGGGCTCCCAGGATAGGAGCCTTCTGATTTGAGCTCAGAAGTACAGGCAGTCAGTTCCCTTAGGGGAAGCCTGTGTCCACACAGGTTTCCCTGGGATATCTCAGTGGCCAATTTATCAGTCACAGAATCTGAGAGAAAGACAGCTTCAGACTTTGGGCAGAATTCCAAGGAGAGCTGGGGTCTGGAGATCTGCAGGAGCATGGAGACAGGATCTCAGACTCTGGGACTCTCAGAGCAGGCTCTGCCAAGGGCATCCAGCCCACATGCTCGGGGGCAGATGGCAGATCTGAGGTCAAGAAGGGGAAGTAGTGGGTCCAGTGTCACACCAAGGAGGATAGGGATGAGGCTGGCTTTATCCCCAACGCACTGCCTGACAGGGATGAAGCAGCTGACATGGTTCTGCTGAACACACGGGATACATTGAGGCCATGACCTTGAAGAGGACACCAGCTCCTAACTTAGGCCCTTTGCAGTGCTGACCAAGGAGTGGGGCTGGGGAGCTCGCAATCCTTCCTCTAAGCATGACACCGAGAAGTCAGGCCAGGGTCCTGGAAGCCAGTGGAGGGACGCCGGAGGACCAGGCCAGCTAGCTGACCCCACAGCCAGAGCTAAGGCACCCATCCCCAGACCTGGCCTCTGGGCCCCTCCGCCATAGGGGACAGCCCACCCTGGGTTCCTCCACCCTGGCTAGTAGAGCCCTGCCCTCTGTGCAGGCCTCAACTCCAGCTTCATGTTTTATGTAAAGGGAATTGGGGCGCGGGAGGGGTGGGTAGCCAGTAGCAGACCAGAGAGGCAGGAGGGAGGCAGTGAATAAAATTCTTTGTTTAAGGAAGGCGTGAGCTATGCGTCCGCAAGCCCGGGAGAGGCATGTCATTTTGCTGGAAATGCGATTTTCCCTAACAAGTACAGAATTCTACATGACATGTTGAAAAGTGTATCTCTTTGAGAAGCTGCTCTGTATCTCAGAGGCATCGTCAGTACAGAAGCGTGTAATGTGGCAGTTGCCATGGCAACGCCTCGTTTTCCATAGACAGGAAAATCAGAGTGGCTATGTCGATTGAAAGGCCCCAAATAATGTCTCAAGACCAGGCTGAGATCTGGCGAAGGCTTTTGCAGAGGCTGAGGCGCTATTTGGGGGTCTAGGGGCCACTTTATATGTGCTTTGTAGAGAATCCCCAAGATAATGTTCAGTGCCTCCTCCTAATTTGACTGAGTCAATGGGATCTGTCCAATGCCACCCAGAAGGGCAGTGACAGGGCCAGGGTGATAAAGCTCCCACTTTGTGGACAGGCGATGCCTGTGGCTGAGGTGATGTTGGCCCCTGCTCCCCTCCCTCCAGCGACCCCTTCTATCACTGTTTCTACTAAAGAAGTAGTTGTCTTGAAGACAGACATTGCGCTTAGCACCAGACAGTAGCAGCCGAGTCAGAAGCAAACATGTTCCCCGCATCTACCCCCATATGCACCACCCACTCATGCGTGCCTATGGTGCACGTGCTTCCAGTGTGAGCACAGGGACAGACTTACCCAGAGTAGGTGCTCCACCCATGGGTGCAGCTCTAGCTTTCATACCCACACCTGGGCCCCCCAGGTACAGAGGCTACAGCCCCATCACCCCAGGGCC